TCAGGGTATAAAAATTGTTTGCTATTCATAATTGAAATATTGAACTACCCATTTTTTAAGATTTAAAAAAAAAATGTCGTTTGAGAAAAATTTTCAGTGGATTCGTTTAAGTGGATTATAATTATGTACTTTGTCGGGTCTGCCATTCCTCCTTCTGCCATTATATCTTGATTTCCTATTTTGAATGGGTTCAGGGTATAAAAGTAACTCTCTAAAGTACAGATAACTCATCAATAATTTTGTATGCTTCATTGAAGCTTAAAGTCAGATTAGAGGATTAAGAAATTAGATTAAGAAAGGTTTACCTTGTTGTTCGATGCGATCATTATTTGGATCTGTCCAGCTGACGAAAGCAACAGCAAACCAACTTCCTAATTGAGGACCCGGTATATCAATAATGTGTCGTTTTTGATCAGACTGAAACTGTAGACTATATACCTTATATCTAAAAATAATTTCGGAATGTGAATTGATCAAAAAGTATTAAAAAAGATATTTTATCAACATTTAAAGTATATTTCTATTAAAATATTACACTTCTATCACATTCTCCGAATTCATCTACACTATTAAATCAGGGAGTATACACAAGTCTCTAGTACTCGAAAAATGCCTTTTACAAATATGAGGGTGAGTGGTAAATATAGGGGTGGGGGGTAAAATTTTAACAAAAATCGAAATTTTATAAAGAACATAAATTTATATTTAAAATTTGTCGATTCAGATGTAGTAGATAAACATGACTGATTTTCGATCAACGCGTTCAACGACGGACAGACGGACGGACGGACAGGGTTAAATCGACTCAGCTCGTCGCCCTGATCAATAATATACATATTATTCAGCTTGCTTCATGTTTTTAACAAAACCATTATATCTAATTTACCATTTTCAATGGGTTCAGGGTATAATAACTTATAAATAAATACAAATTAGGCTGAAGAACCGAAATCAATCCATTATTCTTGAAAAAAAAGTTATCGAAAAAATATGATAATACATGCAAAAGTTCAGCTCTCTAGCTCTTATATCTTCTGAGCTCTCTACGCTCATACGGACAGGCAGACGGACGGAAGGACAGACTATATCGCTATATCGACTCAGATCATTGTCCTAATCACGAATTTATATACTTTATGGGGTCTGCGACGATTCCTTCTGCCTTTTAAATACTTTTCACAAAGCCATTATACCGGGATTTCCTATTTTATAATAATTTTGTTGAGGCGGAAAAACTTACCTTTCCTCCGTGGGCAAAAAATATTTGGGAAAGGTGATATTTTCGGGACTAATAACTGGGAAGCTCTTTGCCTTTAAATGTAGTGTAACATCCTTAGCTTTGCATTTTCTCTCTACAAACGTGATTTCATTATTAATATTTTTATTGATATCTATGTATGTGTATTAAATTACGGCACTTACGAAAGGAACTCTTAGATTCTTCAAAAGCTTTAAAACTAAAGTACGCAGTTCGTGTATCCAATGGAACTCGAAAGTGAAGTATCGAAACGTCCTTATAGGCGCCGAACTTAAGGAGTGTATTCGACGGCAATCGTACGGTGAGCTGTTGGTCCTTTGGTGTATCTAATTGCTCAATTTGCTCGCCAAGGTGAAATTTGTTTTCATGCGACTCTTGATGAAATCGCACACTGGCATCACTGCTCCTCATTTCTTGACCAATATACAAAAGTATTAATAGTACAATGGCATTGCAGCGCAATACTTTTTGGGTCATCTTTTCTCTGTACCCCTATTTCAATGGGCAACAAACAGCATTAGTAATTAGTAGTCAGATCCCACAGCTATTGTAAAAGAATAAAAGATACATGCAAAGCGCACATAAATAAGATATTTAAATTCAAGACATACTATGTTACTTTTTGTTTCTTAATAGAAGTATCAAGGATCAGACAGTTGCAAGCAACTGAATGCTTGTAAACTTTAGTAAGACACATTAAAGCTAATTACTATGATTATTCACGATATATCACATTGGGGTATTCGCTGGCTCATAAAGCCTGATTCTGGACTGCGTTTGGACAATTTGTTGAATCATAACAGTTATATTCAATTGTATAAACTTATCTCAATCATTTGCGACCGGTGTTTTGTTCCAGAAATACTGTGTATTACCCAGATCAATATATTTTGTATTTTATTTTTATATCGACACAAGTTGCCCTTCTGAGTTTAAAATTCTTAATATGTAGCTTATACTCAGCCTACTTCATTGGCAATAAGTTCACTAAGCCATGAAAACTTGCTCGAAAATTGCCCTCATTTTTATACCCTGCACCCATTGAAAATGGGAAATCAGAGTATAATGTTTTTGTGAAAAAGTATGTAACA